TTTTCTGTTTATTATATAAAGGACAGTCTTTGAAAGGCGATAATTGAAAAGCGATAATTTTCACATGTGAGATTATCATGAATAATCTCACATGTGAGATTATCACTTTTATCAGTGCTCGAAATCTCTATAAAACACTATACTTTATATAATAAAATATATTATTATATAAAGTATAGTGCTTTATAGAGATTTCGAGCACTGATAAAAGTGATAATCTCACATGTGAGATTATTCATGATAATCTCACATGTGAAAATTATCGCTTTTCAATTATCGCTTTTCTGTAAAAATTATCGCTTTTCAAAGACTGTCCTTTATATAATAAACAGAAAAATACACGGGTGCTTGGAAATACCAGATTTGTTTCCGCGCACCCATGTATTATTCTCTATATAATAATCAGTTTAATAAACCACATTGCAGTAAGAACTGAATTACACGGTTAAAATGGAAGAAAACTACCTAAATCTATAATACAACAATGGTTATATTTTACTGTTACAAAGTTTTGAAATCGCTCAGTGTTTGTTTTTAATGTACAGTTTGGTTCGGACCTAAGATGATAGTTGTGAGCTACTGAGTTCACTTCGGCTTGCCACAACACCTTTAAGAGAATAATTACATATTGTCAAGCTTTAATTTTTCAATGAATTGTTCACAAGATTAGTCTGTAACGGTCATAAAGATTGAGTCACGATCTTTCTCTATAGCCGAAACACAACAGTTTAAGACTGAAAATAGGCAGAGTGATTATAAATAGAGAATACTTATGATTTATATGTAGTTTACAGGTAAAACACTATTATAATCTGGCCGTTGAAAAAGATCGTGACTCTATCTTTACGACCATATGGAAACCTGGCTTAAAGATCAAAAGTAGTATAGTTCTACCTTTCATAGTGTCCTCAATGACATTGGCACAAAGCTTTCTTGTCACAACAGTACTGGCTCCCATTGCAGGACTCGAGTTGATCTCAATCTGAAGTGAACACACGATGTACGTTTTACGATATGTATCCCTTATACCATAGTAATAGCTATATATTACTTTTACGTATTTTATACCTTGACACCCATTTACACTTGAATTCTAGCGGGATTTTCAACTTCTGATGGATTGTGAACAAGTAGATAAACTATGAATGTATTGAGTTTATGTACCAGTTCAATGATACGTACCTTCATCTGAACATTCATAACTCATTCACTCGTTTGCATTTGTTAGAAGAAGAAACTCGCACCTAAAGTCGCAGAGTTTGAACAGGGGTTTAAACATTTCTGTTGTTTTTCAACTTACCAACCACGGCTTATAATCTTCTGTTAACATGAAATCAGCTCCGTATAACTCGAATGAATTCTAAACATGGAATGAAGGGACTTGTAGATGGAAATTATCGAGTGTAAATTTTTATACATTTATTAGACTTAACCGGGAACAGCTGAAACTTTTCGTGCCGGGTTAGGTTAGGCAACTATACGTCCTGTGGCAGGATTCCAACCTGCGCCCCTGCGATTCTGGTGCAGCGCTTTAACCAGCCACAGAGAGACAGTTGTCGAGCTCTAACCAACTGAGCTACAGAGAGACAGTTGTCAAGCTCTAATCAACTGAGCTACAGAGAGACAGTTGTCAAGCTCTAATCAACTGAGCTACAGAGAGACAGTTGTCGAGCTCTGACCAACTGAGCTACAGAGAGACAGTTGTCGAGCTCTAACCAACT